TCCGCCGAATGAATCAGGGACCGAAGCTTTGCGCACAGCCCTATCACATTTACCTTTTTCATAGCTGCATCAAACTCTTAGTTATTTATTCTGTGATCAGTGCTGGCCCCAGCCTCCTCTACTGCCCCCGGAGTAACGTGCTGCATGCCAGAGTGTGGGCGGCATGGGCATTCCCCGGGGACAAGTGGCTGCAGCACAAGGTGCACCACCGCTACTTGTCCCTGGGGAACCAAATGTCCACACTCATCTGGAAGTGGCCTTTTTGTTTCCTGAAGGACTTATTCTATGTCAGTCATCCGCAACTCTGAAAAAATCTTTTTTTCTACCTTCTAAAAAACAAGGTGCTTGTTGTACTCGGGGGTGTGTTGTAAGCAAAAATATACTGTTTTATTAATAACAGGCCTCTGAGAAAAAAAATGCAGGCCTGTTAATCGTCACTGAAAACTCTTTTCAGCATGAACACTCTGGCCTTCTAAGAGATTTTAATAAGTAATTTTGTAACCATGGCTTTACTCCCATTCATCTCTTAATTCTCTCTTCTTTCCTTGTGTCCCCCCTTTACAGTACGCTTTGCACCTTATAGACCTCCTGACATCTCTTTGAAGCCACTGCTCTTTGAGGTGCCCAGTATCACCACAGAGTCAGTGTTTGTTGGCCGGGACTGGGTGTTCCACGAGATCGACGCGCAGTTGCAGAGTTCCAACGCCAATGTGAACAGAGGTGTGGTCATTGTTGGGAACATTGGTTTTGGTAAAACAGCTATCATCTCCAGATTGGTTGCGCTGAGCTGCCATGGCACACGCATGAGACAGATTGCCTCTGATAGTCCACATGCCTCCCCAAAACGTAAGTATTAACATGTTGAGAGCTCTCCCGATCCTCTTACATCTATCCTTTATAGAAGGATCCTGCTGCCTCCCTCACCTAATAGACCAGTACAAACATTGTTGCCAAACCTTTGATCATGATGGACATCCCCTGGCAGTGATATATTTGCTGTTCTTGTTCCAGGCCCCCCTAATCTCTTATTCCCCATTTCCTTCCAATAGCACATATCTCTGCTGCCCCTGTTGCCTATTCCTTCCCTTCCAAATGACCTGTCTCCATCTTTTATGGCATAGGAGCTCACAGAATGGTCATCACACTGCATCAGTCCTCACAACTGCATGTGCCCTACTTCTTGTTCACTAAGACAAATTGATTCACCCTCCTCTAGATTTCAGTGCCCTTGCAGGTAAAATCCAGCATCAGTTTAAAATGACCCAGTGACACTAAAATGCTGGATGCTGGAATCAATGAAGGTCAGATCCTAAGTACGTAAGGATCTGTCATTCTGCCTTACTGAAACTGTGGTTAAGCCTGTTGAACAAATGCTGTTTGCTAGACTAACCTGTTCTAATCCAAGTATGATGAATAATTAAAGGCAGGACTCGGTTTTATGGTAACTGAAAGCCTGCAGCAAACCTGCATTAAGTTCCTTCCAATCTGTTTGAAGAGATTGTGAGGGAGATTACAATGGCTATTGTTTAGCTGTTCCTAAAAACTTTGCACTTGGCAGAGGCCCAGAGGTAAAATATTTCATATTTCTCGCTTGCAAATCACAGATGATGGCTTCCTGGTCAATTTAATTAGCCGCAGCCTTCACATCTTACCCTAGCATTTCAATGAAGTAGCAGCAAACTGTAAAGAGTCTGAGTTTTTAATTCTGGATATTCAGCTCTGAGAGAGAATCAAAAATTTTGACTATGGTTATTTGCCCAATAAGGGGACCTGAGCTCCTAAAAATGGAAAATAGGTTTGTTTTGGAAAAAATAAACCTTATGTCCATCTTTATTTTTGCATGTTCAGAAGACAAACCCCTTTAATATGTTTATTAACTGAAGTATCAGTCAGGTGACCCAGAGTATTATAACAAGCATATGATCAGTATTAGTGAGCTGAAACAAATAGCCTCAGTAACTGTTTGTTTTTGTCTCCACCAGGCTGATAGAAAGGGTGAAGGCGGGTTCATGGGTTCAAAAACAATGCTGTAAATGTATTACTTGGTAAATAAACTTAACTATTAATTATTTAGGTAATGGATGCTATTCTTAATGGTTCTACAGACATAAAAAATGATCATTATTACCATTTTGACTTAAAGCTGAACTGAAGCATACATTAGAGGACTCAGGAAAATTCTCAAATTGTAAAGCCAACCCTGGCAGGACCTGCTGCTACTAGAATACACTTAAGAGCAAAGAGAGAGAGAACAATGATTAAGCATTGCAAAATACAAAATCTTTTCTTTATTATTAAAAAAAATCAAAAACACTTCATTTAGATCGTTTTCTCTGCAGTCGTCCTGCAACTGGTCCTGACGCAATTTCTTCAGTAGTGTTTTTTTTTGTGGGTGACCCTGAATCACAGCCCCACACTCAATCTAGATCTTTGTCTGATATAGAAAACATGGTAACCAGCTTAAATGGATTCCAAACCGATACCTACCACAGAGGTTGTACAATTTTGCCTTACAGCTGTCCTGTAGTAATGTGTTACCTTCATTGTTTAATACAGATGTGGATGCAAACAGAGAGCTCCCCCTAACACAGCCACCATCTGCTCACTCCTCAATCACCAGTGGAAGCTGCCCTGGAACTCCTGAAATGCGCAGACGTCAAGAAGAGGCCATGCGGAGACTGGCCTCACAGGTATTAAAGGATTTTCATGGTGCCATTTTCTGTACACAGCGGGGTCTGTGAGTCGGTGTCCTGTCTCATCACTGCAGTTATCTGACTGTGTAGCACAAAATGTGAATATTGACATACAAAGAGGGTGTGCAAGTGCTAACCAGACAGCACACAGGGAAACCATCCAAAATGGAAGCATCAGACAACTTTACTATCCTAAGAAAATGATGATATATTTAGAGTAAAATTCATATAATATCAACAGCTCTGAGGATTCATCTTTCATAGCATAATCAGCATCTTTAAGACTATATGTATGTCCTGATAAACAGCATTACTGTTGTAAATTTTCTTTCTTGAATGGATGCAGTGTCACTGGGCAGCCAGATGGGGAAGATGTGTGGGGCCAGGAAGAGGGCAACAAGTCAGAAGTATGTGGCTAACCAAGTTGAATGTTGCCTTGGGTTCTGATTCTGATCCTGCCCTCCACAGTAGGGCTAGGGACAGACATTACACATAAACTGGTTTAAGTGAGTAGAAACTAACAGAACAGACATTCACTGCACATAAACCAGTTTCAAAATGGCTGAAACCAGTTTGAGATAAACCTGGTTGAATGTAGTATCACACTTAACTAATTTGGCTCAAACTGGTTTATGCAATGTCTGTCCCAGACCCCTTCCTGGTTTAACTTAAATCAGACTCCCCCAGCTTCCCAGCATGCTCTCTGGACTGGGCCCTCTGCTCCCCAGCCCGAGCAGGGACAGGTGAGGGCAGAGGTCTGGCCAGAGCAGAGTTTAATTTCCCCCTCCCTCTGCCACCGGCAGGGACCTGAGCTAGGTCTGCTGGGAACTCCTCCCTTGCTGCTGCAGCAGTGGGCACCATGGCACCTGAGGCAGAGGGGGGCAGGGAGGAAAATTAGTCTCCCCTCTACCCCTCTAGCAGCCTGGTCTGTGCACCATCACCACTGTGCTCACTCCCTGCGGGG